ACATTCTTAAATGTATGAATAATTAATTTCTTTTTATTGCTGTGTATTTTACCATGGCATGCCTTTTGAGCTATTTCTAGTTTTGGGTTATTATAAATAAGGCTCTCTGGATGTTTGTGTACAAGTCACTATATGGACATATGCTTTCATTTCTCTTGGATAAATACTTAGGTTTGGGCTAAGTCACTTGGTAGATAAATATTCTGGGTTTTTTGGTGGTACTGTGGATTGAGCCCAGGACCTTACACATGCACTCTAACACTGAGCTACATCCCCAGCAATTTTTTTTTCTTGGAGGTGCTGAGGATTGAACCCAGGGTTTTCACACTGATCTATATCCCCAGCCTTTTTTAGTTTTTATTTCAAAATAAGATCTTGTTAAATCCCTCAATTGCCCAGGCTGGGCTAGAACTTGTAATCTTCCTGCCTTAGCCTCCCAGAGTGCTAAGATTACAAATTTGTTTCACCATACCCAGCTCCTTTTTTAGTTTTGAGACAGAGTCTTGCTATGCAGTTCAGGTTGGCTTCAAACTTTCAATCCTCCTCTCTCAGCCTCCTGAGTAGCCTGGATTATAGGCATGTGCCACCAGGCCTGGCTACTGTTTTAGGGGGTTTTGTTGTTTTTATGGAAATGGGAATCAAACCAAAGGGTGCTGTACTACTGAGCTATATCGGAACTGGCCCCCTGCCTCTGTGTGTGTGTGTGTGTGTGTGTGTGTGTGTGTGCCCGCATGTGCACGTGTGAGAAAGACAGAGAGAGTCTCGAAATATAGTTTAGGGTGGTCTTGAACTCACTATGTAGCCCAGCTTGGCCCCTCCTGCCTCAGCCTCCTAAGTACTGGGATTACATACCTATGCCACTATCCCCAGCCAGAATCCCTTTTTATTTTGAGACAGGACCTTGTTAAATTGCCCAGGTGGGACTCAAACTTGCAATCTTCCTACCTCAGCATCTTGAGATTACAGTCATATGCCACTGAGGCTAGCTTGTTTTAGGGTTTATTTTTGTAATATATATTATAGTACCTCCAAGTAGTATTATACCAGTTCATGTACAGTATATGAATCTTATAGCAATTTTCTACATTTTTTCCTCTCCCTTTGTGGTATTTCCATACTTCTTCATGTTGTAAACTCAATATTTATTATCTTCTAATTGTTTTTGCTTTAAACAGGCAATGATTACATTTTTAATTTGTTACTGTAATACAATATATATAACATAAAATTGACCATTTTAACCATATAATTCAGTGGTAATAAGTCCATTTACAATGGTTGCATATACCGCTATGCATGTTTCTCCATTTATTTAGGGCTATTTTCTGAACTTTTTCATCATCCCAAACATTATATTCGTTAAACAAAGACTCCCAGGCCGGGGATTTAGCTCAATGGTTCCAGCGCCTGTCTTACAAGTGCAAGGACCCAAGTTTGATCCCCGGTACCGAAAAAAAAACAAAACAATGACTCCTTCTTCCTCCTTCCCAGCCTCTAGGAACCTTTATTGTACTATCTCTATGAATTTGACTGTCCCAGGTACCTCATGTAAATGGAATCATAATATTTGGTTTCTGAGCTGGGGACGTATAGCACTTGCCTACCATGTCTGAGTCACTGGGTTCAATTCTCAGTGTTGCATTTAAAAAAGTGTTTTTTGTGTCTCGATTATTTTATTTAGAATAATCTCATGAAGGTTCATCTAGTTTCTAGCATTCTCAGAATTTCATTCTTCTGTAGTTATCTTTTTTTTCTTTTTGGTACTGGGGATCGAACTCTGGACCTTGCGCTTGTGAGGCAGGAGGTGGAACCACTGAGCTAAATCCCTGGCTTTCTGTGGTTATCTTAACTTTAAAAATTTTTAAATTAATTACAGTAAGTCCCTGACTTAATGAACAAGTTCCGTTCTGGCAGAACATTCATAAGTTGGATTTGTTTGTAAGTCTGACAAAGTGAATCTTATACACTTTGGACACAAATAAACAATGTATATTGCTTTGTGCTTCCTAGCAGTCCCCTCCACACCTCCACTGCTTTTCCTCTTGCTTCCAGACAATGTGGGCTGAGATTGAGCGCTGCACTACTGTACACTATAGCAGTAGTAGTAGTACAGTACCGCAATAGTAGCACAGTAGTACACAGCAGCACAACATCAGGCAGACATATGAGCTGCTTCCAAGATATGTTCACCTCTACAAAAGTTTGTAATTCAGGGTCTGTTCATATCTGTGAAAGTTCATAACTTGCCGGGGATTTAGCTCAGTGGTTCTGCCGCCTGTCTCGCAAGCTCAAGAACCCAAGTTCGATCCTCGGTACCACAAAAAAAAAAAAAAAAGAAAGTTCTCAACTCGAATGTTCATAAGTTGGGCACTTGTGCCGGGGATTTAGCTCAGTGGTTTCACTGCCTGCTGCGCAGGTGCAAGGACCCAAGTTCGATCCCTGGTACCAAAACAACAACAACAACAACAAAAAAACCCCCAAAGTACGTAAGTTGGGGACTTACTGTAATTAATTAATTAATTTTGAGATGGGGTCTTTTTATGTTGTCCAGGCTAGTGTCACTCAACCTTCTGGGCTCAAGTGATCCACCTCAGTCTCCTCAAAAAGACTCTGGCTCTTTTTTTTTTTAAACTGTGGTAAAATATATGTAACATAAAACTTACCATTTTAAAATGTACAGTTCACTGGTATAAAGTGGTGTAATTATCACCACTATGCATCTCTAGAAACTTTTTCATCTTTTCATTCTAAAATCTGCACCCATTAAACAGTAACGTTCAGCCAGGTTTGGTGGCACAAACCTATAATCTCAGTATTCAGCAGGCTGAGACAGGAGAATCACAAGTTTGAGCCCAGCCTGGGCTCCATGAGGAGACCCTGACTCAAACAAACAAACTGAACCAACACAAAACCAAAAGCAGTAACTCCCTGTTTACTCCTCCTCACTCTTGACAATTAGGATTTCCTTTCTAACTCTAAAATGTTTCATGGTCTAGAAGTAGAATGATAAAGTATTTGTCCTTTTGTGACTGCTTTAAGTTACTTAGCATGTTTTCAAGGTTCATCTGAGTTGTAGAATGTCATAATTTCTGCTCTTTTGAGGTTGAATAGTATTCCATTATATGTATTTAGCAGATTTTGTTTATTTATTCATCCATTAATGGACACTTGGGTTGCTTCCAATTTTTGGCTACTGCGAGTAATGCTGCTACAAACATGGGCATACAAAAATCTGTCAAGTTCCTACCTTCAATTTTTTATAAACCCAGAACAGGAATTGCTAGGTCATTTGGAAATTCTATGTTTAATATTTTGAGGAAATAGTAAATGTTATGCTGCTGTCATTCTCTTTTCTATAGTGGCTGTACAATTTTACATTCTCATCAGCAGCGTATAAAGTTTTCATATCCTCACATTTATTATTTTATGTTTCTTTAAAATCATATGTAGCTCGCCTGTAATCCCAGCACTTGGGAAGCTGAGAAAGGAGGATAGCTGCGCGTACCAGGCTGGCCTGGGCTACATAGTGAGTTCAAGGCCAGCCTGAACTAAAGTGTGAGACGCTGTCTCAAAAAATCAAATTTAATATGTAAAGGTGCAAATTTCCAATGATGAATGTCATTATGTTGTATACCTAAAATGTACCAATGATTAGAATGAATAATCGATAATGTAAAATAGGAAGAAAAGGTCCAAAGGG